ACGTTATTAACAGCATTGAAACGATAGATTTCACCACTCGTATTAGCTTCCCGTCTTCAAGTTATCAGTTTAAAGAAGTGAATGCTGCTAAAGTCGTAATATATTACAGAAACCATAGTCTGGGTGACAACATTCAAATTCCTGACTGTATTAAGAAAAATCGTTTTGTTGTCGATTTCCCTAAGACCGATAACAAATGTATGTTCTATTGCATTGCTTATCATCTAGAAGAAAACAAACCCGATTCACGTCGTATGGTGTCGTTCGCTAAAGATCAATACAAACAATATTGTGTCTTCAAAAATATTAAGTATTCATCGAAGCTTTTCAAGGACGCTGAGCCGATTGATATTATGCAATTCGATGAGCTAGAAGATTGCTTTAAGATAAGTATAAATGTTTTCGAGATGAACCAGGAAACACTTAAGGTTTCTAAAATCAGAGAATCGTATAAGCAATTCAAGAATGTTATCAACATTTTGGACTATAAGGGTCATGCAATGTATATCACCAATTTAGATATTCTTCTTAGTAAATATCCCTGTAATGTATGCGGTGCGGTGCTTGATACATGTCAGAAGCTTTATGATCACAAACGTAGCAAATGCGAGTTTGAGGTATTTGAGCAGTTCTGTAAGAATCCAACCGCATACCAACCACCTACCAATCAAATTAAAAAAAAATGCTAACAAAATATTCGATTAACGGCGTAGATCACTACATAGACCACTTCATTGTTTACGATTTTGAAGCCATTCTAAAGCATATTGATGAAAAGCGAGGCGAAAACTCTAAATTCACTAGTCGTAACATACCTGTGTCTGTGAGCATTTGCGATAGTTTATCTATGGAGACTAAATGCTTCGTCAATGAAGATCCTAAGATGCTTTTAGAACAAATGTTTGCGTATATGTCTGAGGTTCAAGCTAAGATTTACCAAGCCAATCTTAAAAAGTTTGAAGTACTACTAAACGCAATATTATCTAAGAGCGGCGCTGACCACGGTGACTACTCTAAAGTACGAAACATTCTTAAAGCAGTACCAGTAATAGGATTTAATTCTGGAAGATATGATATCAATCTAGTCAAGAAAGATCTTTTCGCTGTTTTAGGAGCTGAAAACATTAAGATGGTAATCAAGAATCCCAGCTATATGTGTATTAGTACTAATAAGTTCAAGATTCTTGATATCAGTAACTATCTTCCGGCTGGTACATCATACGATTCGTATTAAAAAACCTATCTTGGAGGTTGTAAGTGTAACGATAAAATTCGTTGCTTATGTGGGCTTGGTAAGGGAGTCTTTTGCTACGAATATATTACAAGTTTTGAAAAACTCAATAAAACTAACTTGCCACCAAGAAAAGCTTTCGACTCGACGTTTAAAAGTATTAAGATTTCTACTGATGATTATGAACGTGTAAAGTTTGTTTGGTCTCACTATAAGATGAAAACCCTCAAAGATTTACTTATATGGTACAACAATCTTGACGTGAAGCCTTTTGTTAAGGCTGTAAATGAACAGCGCAAACTGTACAAGCGTTTCAAACTAGACATGTTTATGGATGGTGTAAGTCTTCCTGGACTATCGGAAAAAGTTATGTATCAAACATGCTACTCCAAACTCAAGAAGCCTAAGAAACCAAAGCTTGAAGACATCGATCGCTTTGACTTTCCTATTAAGCGCTTTAATGGATATAAAGATCAAGATATAAAGGCAGGTCGTCAATATGCCTTAGACATTGATTATGTAAATAATGAGCTTGTAAAATCTAAATTTACTGGCGCCCACTGCTGTTGCAAGCTCACGCCTGAAAACGTATCACTCGATAGAATCAACAACAGTGTAGGTCATATTGATGGAAACTTTGTAATCAGTTGTATCAACTGTAATGTTGCACGTAAGGATATGAGTATGAAAGCTTTCAGGTACAAAAAGATAATCGATTATAATGGTGACAGACTCGTGTGGTCTATTGATGAGGAAAATAAGGACATTTACCGCAAGATGAAAGCTAATATTGCGGGTGGGCCTTCGATTATCTTCAATCGCTATGCGAAACGTAATGAAACCAAAATTCGCGGCGGTAAAACTTGTAAAAAGATTATCGGGTATGATGCTAATGCTCTATATCTTTGGGCTCTTGGTAACGAAATGCCATGCGGGCGCCTCACTACAATTGACCCTTATGATGGTATCATTGATGA